AAAGCCCCTGATGATCTTTCCATCCATGCAGAGAAAATGACTGTAATACCTCTGAGTCTGGAGAAGAAGATTTTTGAAATATTGGTTAATTTTCCCTTTTGGGCCCCGCCCTGGCCCCTAGGGTTGGGGTAGGAATCCCAATTTTACAATTTGGTATCCTCATCTACCAAGGATGATTCTGACCAAGTTTGAAAAAATTCCATCCACTGGTTCTTGAGAAGAAATTGATTATGTAAATGTTTACGCACAACGCACGACGGACGATGACGGACGGAAAGTGATTGGAATAGGTCACTTGAGCAAAGCTCAGGTGACCTAAAAAGACTGGTACCTGTTCTAGCCAAGGGTGGAATCGTTACAAGAAAGGCCTTTGGTTATATCATGTGTTGCATTTCTGATGTCAGTTTTTTTGTGTGGTAAATAAAAATCTTTTATATATCTGCAAAGACTGTTTTGTTTTATTTGCCTACAAAGATCTTGAAGTGAAAATATCAACAATGCAGATGTTATAGTAGTCAGAGAAAGCCAGGATTTGTTCGATACATTTGTAAATGTTATCTTTACACCCAAAACGACGTTACGCCGCGATGCCGTCAAAAGTCAGTTGTAAAACCCAGTGGAGGGAGATCTCCCACACTGGACTCCTAAGAGGTTGGCAATCCTGTGTTGGTAGGACGTTTAACAATATTAAACCAAACCAAACCAAACCCCTGAGCACCCCTGAAATATGTCATGATAAATTGAAAATATTTCATTTGTTTCTGATAAAAAACTGAACAATTGCTAGCCTGTCCTTTGAAGATGATAGATTTCAATTTTACTGTACACTGTGGTGCTATTCTTTTGAAGTACATCGAAAAATTGATCTAGTCAACTTGTACCACAGTCTTCATTTTCATTATGAAACATCTGTGGGAGCAGAGAATGTGAGAGAGCATAACCCCTGGATTTCAAATAAGTATAAATAATAATAATTCAAGGTTATTATGTATCGCTTTATCACTACCTAGTTCGTAGGTCGTCTCAAAGCGGTTCATAAAATTATTATCCGTGGTTATATGGTTATAGGGCCTTTGTAACCAGCCAATATCTTTCTCAACTCCCTGGGGAGCATACAGCCGGAGCTGCCATTTCGGCGCTAACAGCTAGCATTCAACAATTCTACCACTGCCCGACCATGTACTCATTTACAGCCGAGTAGACTGGAACAAGTGTAGTAAAGTATCTTGCTCAAAGATACAATTTAACACAGTGCCGTGCAGCGACTCAAACCCGCAACCCTTCAGTCACGAGCCCGGCGTGCTACCACTAGACTACCGTACCTCAAAGATACACTGTGAGGAATAGTATTAATTCCTAAAATGATGGCAGATCTATCAAATGATTTTTTCCTAGTCAAGACTAGAATTTTGTATATAAATCAAAATTTGATTCTCATGTCAGCGTTTTAATTTGAACCCCACAACATCTCATTTATCAAATTTAATTTCTGCATGAGGAAATATGAAACAAACACGGTCATTATTTCACAGCTTGATAATAACATTCACCGATTTTTATTTAAAACCTGATCATCATTGAAAGCAACAGGACATCGTTTAGATCCAATAATTTGAAACATCATGAGATTTAGTTTTCCCATCATTTCATCATCAACAACATTAAATGTTGTTGATCAATAATAATTATTATCCTATCACTCTCATTAAACCACGCAAGTCCACAAAAGCTGTCGATGGATTTTCTTCCCAGGGATTCAATTTTTTCTTCTATAAAAATTAAATTTCTGATGGATTGACTACTATTATGCCAGTGTAAAAAACCTCATCAGCCAGGGGGTCTGGGCCAACAGTTACTCAAATGACATTGCCTGGAGGATGTCCTGGATGTGGTCGGATCTTAAAGAATTGATTGCCTTACTTGAATAAACCTCCATGCGCTTTTCTATCTAATATTATAGTTTTCCCTTTTGAAAACGTCTGTCAATCTCTGTCTCAATTCAAAAATTGCAGGCAAGCAGACAGACTTTGACTGTTTGTATTACCATAGGAGTGCATGCTCCCCAAAACTTATCCATGTCAAATGTTTTGTTACTAACGATGAAGTTAGACATCTGTTTGTCAATTTCGAATGCCCTACTTCTAGTATACGGTACAGTCTATATTACCTTATTATACAGTATACGGTACTGTCTATGTAGCTAGCCCAAAGTGTGAACTCTGGATGGCTTAGCCACTTCTTATTGAACACACACGTCCCCATTTCAGTTTTTAAATATGGCGGCTGATCAATGTGCTTTCTTGACTTCATCCTGCAAACATTTCTATATATACAACCACAGTATAAAGCATTATGGTGACCAAGATTGGCACAAGTAGTATTCAAAACGGGTAAATAATTTCTGGAATATATATATTTTCGCATCGTGATTAAAACAAATTGTTTTACGATTTAACTACCATTTCGTTACATCTTTTAAATAAATTTGACAATATAACCTTGATATGACTGTTATCAGTGATTTTTCTACTTCCTTTCCACTGGGGCCTGTGCCTGTTGATTTGGGAAAATATCATCCACAAATATATTATGATTTTGGGAAATAGAGTGATTTTCGCATTGATTTTGGGAGAAAAACAGCAGAAATTATCTGGGGGGAAGTAAGGCCCCAATTAACCTTAAAAAAATCACTGATTATCGTTGAGTTTTAAGGGTTTTTCAAGACCTTTACATGGTTTTCTCTCCCCATAAACATGTCAAACCCATACTTTTTGTCAAATCAAATGCAGTGAAACTCCAGTTACTCAAATTTATTTGAATAACCCCTGTTTCTTGAATAGTTGGTTGGTCCCATCTGTGTTCTTATATATTCTTTGTAATTTAACCTTAGAATATACTCAACAGCCATTGCTCGAATTCCCCGCGTTCCTCTAACTGTAACATTTAACACGGGATCTCCTGTGTTCCAGTTCGCAATGATACTACACTACACATGGGCAACTGTGCTTACCTGCCCGAGATGAGGAGGCCAAGACGGTCAGTCTTACTGATGGCCTGAGAGCAGTATGCCTCTCCCTCATGAAGGGTGGTCAGTGTACAAAAGTCTGCACAGGTCAGTTTCTTAAACAGGGACCTGAAATAAAATGAAGATTCTTTCATCATATCTCTCACAATATCAAGTGCTATACATAAAATGAAGACACTTTCATCAAGCTCATATACAATATCAAGTGCTATACATAAAATGAAGACACTTTCATCGTATCTCTCACAATATCAAGTGCTTATACATAAAATGAAGACACTTTCATCATAGATCATATACAATATCAAGTGCTATACATAAAATGAAGACACTTTCATCAAAGCTCATATACAATATCATGTGCTATACATAAAATGAAGACACTTTCATCAAGCTCATATACAATATCAAGTGCTACACATCAAATGGTTCTGATCAGTTTTTCACATTTCACTCAGTCTTTGATTAAAATCTTGACGCAACTTCTTAAACATTTTCTGCTATCATTAAACATTGCAAGAAATAGTTTTAACAAAATCTTACTTTGACAATTACAGATGGCAGGACAGACATCACAATAACATGGTGGTATTTAGGACAATGGAGTTCATTCATATTTAAACAAAACTATTTTTGAATGAAATAAAATGGCCATAGCTGACCTGGGGATCTTGAGTGGCTGAAACAGCCGGACATAGATTTCCTCCAGCTCAACACAGAACTTGACCGGTCGAATGTTGTACATGATGAACAGAGCCTGGAAGGCATTGATCACCATGAATGCAAAGTTCCAGGAGAAGAAATCTGGAGCACACAGGATCACCCAGGACCAAATAGACAGCAACAAGAACCCTGTAATACATGTGACAAATATCTGTTTCAGTCTCCCTTATATACAGTCACTGGCCATAAGTATTGGCGCATATCGGCGACGTCATGTTTGTTAACGCTAAGATCTTATAAGGGAGGACATATTTAAAAGTGGAATATCTCAATAAATAAAGAAGGTACTTAAAATAAATTTTCAGTACTTTGTTATATGTCCTCTAGCTCTATAATTACACTTCGTAATCTCTTTGGTAGTGAATTATAAAGGTTCCGAATATAGCACAAAGGCAAACTTGACCATATATTGTTCACAACTCTGATCAGATCTGCTCTGTTTTGAACCTCTCCCAAACATTTTCGAAAGACAGGTTTTTGTTGTTTTCCAAACATTTTCAATCACATTGAGATCTGGACTCTGGGATGGCCATGGTAAAGTTCTGATATTATTTACAGTTTTCCACTCGTTAGCTCTCCTTGAGACATGACACGGGGCATTATCTTCTTGTAAAATCCAGGGTGTAATTGCAAAATGTCTCACGACAACAGGCCATAAATGTTCATCTAAAATGGAAATATACTTATCAGTGTTTATATTTCCATCAACAGATGTAAGTGTTCCGACCCCAAAATAAGAAATAGATCCCCAAAACATAGCCGAGAAACGCACATTTCGAGCACTACGATCAGACCTGTCAGACAATTTTCTGGGCCGCCCACTTCTTGGTAAATTTTCGACACTTTCCTTTTCACGGAATCCCTTCAAAAACTTCTGTACGGTTCTTTCTTTAAGTTCTAACAAACCTGCAATTTTTCGAGCCGAAAGACCACTGTTAGACAGCTTTACAATGTCTTCTTTAACAGCTGGGGTCAATTCACTGCTTTTTGGAGCCATTGACGGGCAGACGACAATATAAACACATAGGAACAGGAATAACTCTTTTTGAGTGTATACGCAATTTCCTAACACCTACAAATTGTTCCGGCACTGGTTTTGTGAGAATACATGTTATTTTGGCAAAGTTACAGCTGAAAACGATAGGAATACATTTTATTCACTTAATGACGTCGCCATTATGCGCCAATACTTATGGCCAGTGACTGTATATATAGTACAGGTGGACAAGAGGTACACATGGTCACCTATGATAGGCAATCAAGAGGCTCATAAGTGTTGTATAACTCACCTGTTTCTTTCTTTTTATATTGTATTTAAATGAAACAAGAGATTGAAATGCTTCCATTAACTTGAAAAAAGTGGTCATTTCAAATTTAATAACTCAATTAATTAAAATAACAACACCAGGAAAGGGAAAAGAAGGGAATGTTTGTAAAATATATATGCTAAAATTGGTTAAGTGGAATGACAATCAATTAGTAAAAAATTACTCAGCCAGACAAGGCAGCTATTTTAAGTCTTGATTCAACCAAAAAATATAACAGCACCTGTTCTTGAGCATGCAAACATCCATTTTATTCAGATTTAAATTTGGCTACTATCGGCCTGGTGGAAGTTAAGTAGAAGAAATTGAAAATGTCACAGCCAATAACTTAACAGGTGACCATCTCTGATTGTGATCTTGTGAAATTGATGAACCTTGAGAAAAATTAGTCCTTTAAAGTAATCTTTTGTTTGCCTTATTGGGTCCCATCCCTCTGCTCCCTAGGGGGCACACCTTTCATACAGTGCCTTAACCTTAACCTTTTCACCCCTATGTAACTTTAGTAAACTTTCCCATGCATTTATCTGGATGAGTCCATTATGGTCTACAGTGATGAAAGGGTTAAAGTGATTGATGCTACAGGCAGGTCAAATTTTGTTTAATCCTTTCTTCTTCTGTACTAAATAAAGGAGAACTCCTTAAAATATTTATTTTCCCTTTTGGACTCTGTACCTGTAGATCCGCTTCCAGGGGGCAGTACCTCCTGTTTTTATAACATTGCCTTGCCAAGTGTCAGTGATACTATAAACTAAATTTGGATAAAATTCCTCCACCTGCATGGAGCCTTTCAAAATTTTAAGATTTCCTTATAGTTCCCTTGATATTGGGCTGCGTCCCAATGAATATATGGCAGAAATCAGAATAAGTTTATAAACTAAAAACTCTAAGACATTAAATGTTGGCAAATCTTTGTGGGTTTTTTTGTTCCAAAGAGAGGCAATAAAATACTCACCCAGTACAAAACTACTGTGCATAAAGAGGACACCATTTTTCCTATCTGGTGAACAAAGGCCAATCAAAATCACAACATTGGCAACTTGAAACAAAAAATGATTGGATGATGACCAAGAAAAGCAGCCAATCACAGTCTCTGTTATATTTCCAAGGAACACACTGGCATTGGGAAGGATGGCATCAAAGATGAGGAGGTTGGATTTGGTGGTGTTCCTCTCAGAATCATAGGAAAACATTTCCTAAATGACAAAAAACCTGAATTTTATTTCAATTAAGGAATATTTTCGAATTACACATTCTATAAGATTTTTAGACATTTTGATATACATGTATATATAAATCAAATTCAAACTTTTTTTTAAATATGGGAATATATCCTTAAAAAATATAACTGAGCATCCCATTTGGTTTCTCACAATAAACAGAATTATGATAGTATACCTTTTAACAAAACATATTTTCATTGTTATTTTTAAATGCACTATTTTGTTACAATGCAAAATATTGTCTATGAACGATGTTTCCTTTGTGGCAATAGATTCATTAACATCATATCTACAGTTATTTCTAATTATTATAAACATTTACATATTGTATTAATTTCCATCGACAGGATTAACAAAGTTGTCACTTAAATTACAGTAGGTGACTATAGGCTATACCATATTTTCAGTAAATTTAATATTCCTTCAGGACGATATAGTTCAATAATCACAAATGAATTGTCTCCCCTGACACAAAAACCGCACAGAAGCGTATTTCTATATGATATATCAATAGTAGGAGACAAATCTAAATCAATCACTGCCTTACCTCCGTTAAAGAATCTGCCAATTCTAACACTACCATTATAGTCCTTGAGTACAGCTTTACTGAGGAAGACAAGCGGTGGAGAACGCGTCAGTCAGCCTCACACCACTCCCGCCAACCCTCTTGCTGCAGCTACATCAACTTCCTGTCGACTTCCCGCGTTTTTCAAGCGTGGGAAGGGAGGTAACACTTCTTCATTAAAACTTTTTAAGGAAAAACAACACACCGGTTATACAGGTTTCTGTGATTAAGACAATTTAATACTTTTTTAGATTAAATATCTGAAAACAGAAAGGATACATGATGTGCATTGGTAAAATGTCCACGATATCTGAGTGCTGAGCCCCGAAAGGTTTCTTTTTAACCAAACTGATTCTAAATATTACGAGATAAATTGTGACTTGGGGAAAAAATCAAAATTGGGCTGAAATTTGGCTGGTTAAATTCAACCCTGTAAAAACGAAAGCTTTTCTGATCTCTAACTTTGAACTTGAGTATGCTATCGATTTAAAATTTATTAACGTTAGTGTGGATTTTGTTGACAATCATAGGCACCTTGGAGTATTCTTGGATGAAAATTGTAAGTGGAGTACCCATATTGAAAATATTTGTATAAAGGTATCAGCGTTTCACGTAAATTGAAATTTATTTTGAGTAGAAGAACTTTAAGTAAAATGTAAAGATCGTACATTCTTGCTCTATTAGAATACTGTTGTGAGGTATATTGGGATGGGTAGTGCACTCTCGGTGACTTAGACAAATAGGAAAAACTTCAGCTTGAGGCTGTAACGATTATCACCGGGTTACCATCTTACTAGTAGAGAGTCGACGTTATCTGAACGTAGAACTCGGCGGAAATTACAACTGTTATACAAAATCCCTATATATTATCTCCTTGGTGATCGAAAAAGTAATATTTTACACACCAGATTGAGAAATAACTCTAGTACCTTAAACAATCACTTATTTCATGCTAATTTAATAGATTTTTAGCACTGTCAATGTGGACATCCTATCAAAGATACATATCACTTCTGTTTTACTTGTAATAATTATGCGGATCAGAGAATTAAGCTCTACCGCGAATTCAATTATTGCATCCCACTTAATTTGCAGCTACTACGTATACTATACGGTTATAATGAATTGTCATATCAAGAAAACATCCTAATAGCCAAACAGAGGCAGCAATTTATTCAGGATACACACTGTACTAACAGATTTTGAGTATATTTTCTTGTACTCCTTCATGTTTACCAACTAATCCGAATCTCTCTCTCTCTCTCTCTCTCTGTCTCTCTATCCCCTCCCTCTGTCTCTCTTCATCATGATCAACTCTCTCTCTCTCTCTCTCTCTCTCTCTCTCTCTCTCTCTCTCTCTCTCTCTCTCTAATTATATATGTTTTATGTCATCTTGATAATTTGTAGTAATATGATACAGGACAAGGGCTTGATATAAGTTGTAAAAACGTGTGCCCAACTCCCATTGTATATGAATTACAATAAAATATGTTTAAAACAAAATTACGATTACCCATATCAGCTATGTCAATAAATACTTAAAGTATCCAGTTCTGTCAGAGGTTTCTTGACATTATGTTGTCAGCAACTACAAATGTAGTTGGATTTTTTTCAAGCGTATGACAATTTCTTTTGTAAAATCCTTGACACTTAACGAGATTTGCACACAAGTAGTTAATATAACCACGGACTAGATTGCTATCTAAGTCCGTGATATAGCATTCCTTTTGATAACTCCCCGCTGACTGATGGGAACCATGTGCGATTAAGAACAGTTCTCCGTGTATGAACAATTTTGTAATTCTACCCTAAAAGTTACATTTTTAAATGTTTGCGGTATAAAGTCAAAATTTAATCTACCAGAATTTGAGCAACTTATTGTTTCATTTGATTTACTAGTTTTTTCTAGAGAGTAAAACTGACGAATTAGATGTTCTAAAATTACCGGAAGGGTACTCATACTATGCTTAACATAGATCTAACTGTAAAAGAAGATCTGGTGGCATTGGTATAATCTACAAGAAAAGTATTGAGCACTCATTACCTTTCAAAAAAGGTAATTCTGAATATGTACAATGTTTAATACTGTCAAAATCATTGTTAAACCTTGATTATGATATACTACTGGGTAATGTATATATCATACCTGAGACCTCCAGTTACTCAACTGTTGATGGTTTTCCTGAGTTAGAGCGAGAAATGATTATTTTTTGTAATGACAATACACAGGTAGCGTTAATTGGAGATTTTAATTCTAAGACGCAACAGAGACCAGATTTTATTGAACCAGACAATAGCCTTGTTGATGTACAAAATATTGATGAAAATGAGTATTTATTTGATGTAATGTGTGACTTCGAAAAGTTAAATGTAATTAATATACCTCTAGTTAGGTACAGTCAATGTACTTGGTTTTTGGAAACAAACTAATTGAGTTTTGTCAGTAAAACAATATTTATATTGCCAATGGTAGAATTGGAAAGGACCAGTACATAGGAAAACCTACATGTAATAATTCATCAGTGATAGATTATCTTTTGGTATCCTCAGAATTATTCTGTTGTATTAATGAATTTCAAGTTTCTGACTTCGATCCTTTGCTCTCGGATGTGCATTGTCGCATAGAGTTTACCGTTTGTGGATCATCGATAAATGGTAACAAAGTATACGATTTATCTAATGCAAACATAATAAATGATGATTATAAAAAATGGAAAAATGAATTAAAAAATGATTTTGTAGAATTTATTATAAATGAACACAATGAAAATAGGGATTCATTAAACAATGTATCGATTAGTTGATTAACCAACTCACCAAATCTCTCGAGATGATGTTAATCACAAAATTAGCCATATTTTTACATCTTCCACTTCTGATGTATTTTGTAAAAAACAAAAATGCATGAACAAGAATAGTAAAAAAAACACCAAACATGGTATACTAAACAATGTGTTAAGTTAAGGAAATAATTCCATGTATCGAAAAAGGAATATAGCAGGGTTAAGAATGAAGTAAATAGGAAAAGGTTGAAGACAAAAAGTAAACAATATAAAAAAGAAATGAATAAATGTTTCAAAAAGTATCTTAACAGTATGGAAGATAAAATAAGAAACTCTATTAAACATGATCCAAGATATCTTTGGGATATTTTAAACAAACTATCAGGTAACGATCAAGCAAATAAAGTTGATCNAAAGTAACACATAATTTATATGAAAACACAAAATCTTGTATTCGTAATGGAAATGAGATATCTGACTTTTGTATGTGCAATGTTGGTTTAAAACAGGGCAAACCTTTGTCACCATTTTTGCTTTCTATATTTCTAAACGATTTAGAAGAGTATCTTCAACAAAATAATGTATCATGTTTGCAAGAAATTGACAGTTTATGTGAAAATAACCTTGGTATGTATGTGAAATTATTTGTTATTTTATATGCAGATGATACTGTGTTGATGTCAGAATCACCTGAAGGTCTACAGAATGCACTTAATTGTTTTTAAAATTATTGTGAAAACTGGAAATTAACTATCAATGCCAAAAAAGACAAAAATAGTAATTTTTGAAAAACGGAAAATCAGACGGCGATTTAATTTTGCACTATTTAATGATCCAATAACTCGTGATGATTCTAACCCTTATCCCGGAATATTGTTCAATTATAATGGATCATTCGTTAAAACAAAGAAACAGTTAGCTAACCAGGCAAAGAAAGCATTGTTTGCAGCCTATACCAAAATTAGAAATATTCCTTTATCTATTGACTTACAACTTAAATTGTTCGATTCCCTAGTATCTCCAATTTTACTCTATGCATGTACAATCTGGGGATTTGAAAATGTAAGTATCATTGAAAAAATTCATATGCAATTTTGTAAGAAAATTTTATATGTTCGAAGTAATACACCAAATGTTATGGTGTATGGCGAACTAGGCAAATTTTCATTAGAAATAGAAATTAAAGATAGAATGCTAATGTTTTGGCATAAATTAATAACAGGAGGAAATAATCTATCTAGTGTATTCTATCGGCTAATACTTAAAATGCAAGAAAAAAATACTGCAGAATTTAAATGGCTTGGATATATAAAATCATTACTTAATAACACAGGGTTTACTAATATTTGGATATACCAAAACACATGTACAATGAATAGATCACTCTTCAACCCTTTGCTTAAAAAACGTTTATGTGATCAATTTATTCAAAATTACTTGTTTGCTATGTAATAATGGCATTGGGGATGAATACCACTATCTATTTCAATGTAATAATGCTACGATAACTAATTATAGACATAAATACATCGCACATTACTTTTATATAAATCCAAGTTTAGCTAAAATGAGACGTATGTCTGAAATTTGTAATCGACCCTTATTATCCAGAGTGAGCTACTTTCTTAAAAATGTAGAAAAACTATGTATTTCACGCTGATAATTGTCATACAATTGCAGTGTATTCTAAAATTGCATAAATTTGTTATTTATTATCTTCATACGCTTATAATTTGCTATTACTCATTATTATTCTTGAGTGAGTTACTTTAATGAGTATTTGATATAATTATTCAAATGTTATAATGAACTTAGTAACTGTATTACCCTGTCTGCCGTGTATGTTGTTTTGAATTTTTGACTTCTTGTTACACACACGAGTGTGTCAAGAGTGTAATAAAGAGTCTGAATCTGAATCTGATACGGAGAGCTCAAACATATATATTACGGGGCCTCCAATTTCTTAAACACTTGTGTGAGCAGTGTAGGGACGCGAAATATTTATGAAGATAAAAGGGCGGAGACATCGCCAGATTTCATGGACCAAATATGGATATGTTTATGTTCTGAAATAATAAGAGCTAATATGGATGAAGAAATGCCTGGTGAGTAATATTAAAATTTCAATATTTTTGACAAAAATGATATTGATCAACGTTAAATTATGTATTTAATTAGCTTTATTTCCAATTCAACAGAACCAATGGCCCACTTACAGAATGGATAACACAATAGATATCACAGTCAGTTATGCATATAACACAGACTAAAAGATACTCATATGTAAAACAAATGGAATTATTGATAGCAAGTGTTATTTAACCGTACTTTGAACTGTGCGAGAGAGGAACAAAACGTATTACAGTCTGGTGCAAAATCAAGATGGTTAAAATTACATTGAATCCTGTTTATAATACTGTACTTTCTAACGTTTATTCGACTTCTCTGGCAGTAAAACTGATCGAAACGAATTGATCGTAGATTACGACTAGGGACTGAAAAACACATTTGCTTGATTAAATACGGGCAATCAAAAGCACTATTAACATATTTGTAAATAAATATACACTCTAAAAATGCCCGCCTATGTTCGAGGCTAGGAAGATTAAAATGCCTACAAGTGTCAGCGTAAGACATGGAATTGTAGTCAACGTGTGCCTTAAAACATAAAAATTTAAAAAAAAATTGCGCTGGACAACTTTGACCTAATGAATTAAGGATGTTTGGTAAGGAGACCAGATCTGACAAGACTTATTGATATAAAGACCTTAAAACAGGTATTTGTGTAAAACTTTTACATGTACGTTTTATGAAAACGGGCAATAAAAAAGACATATTGAATAATTTGTTGAGAAACATTATCTGGATGCCTACCATTTTTGCCCCAAGCATCACCGATGCGTCCTAGCAGGACGTTACAGCTGTAAGATGCGGTGTTATTCATTTTTGGTAAACTGTATTTATTACCAAATGTTTTAAGCGCACACAAGTGTGTGTGTCATACATTCATGTTTGGAGATGCTGGAATTTAGGTCATCCACTTAGATAAGTTTTAGAACGTTTAACCAGTATAACTAATAAATACGCTTATGTCCTCAAAATATTCACTTAGTGGCCCTTGTAACTGAACCTATTAGGCAAGGCACACACTTTAACCTCTGTCAGCTGAGTGACCAGTGTCTTTTTTTCCGCTAATCACATACACATAGCATGAATCACAGACTTCCATCATCCAAGTTTACGAAAGGTGCCGACGATTTGCGATGGATGAAGCACTGAAGTTTTCCACATGGAGGAAGACCGTGATGTTTACTATAAAGTCGACGAAAATGGTACGAATTTTAAATAGTGAAGAATTTTTCTCGGACTCTTTATCCATCTAGTATCTTTATTTACAAGTACATACAGAGGACCTTAACACTTTTCATATACATTCGTTTAACACAAAGACAGCATCACGAATCCGACGCCATGGGGAAAATGTTATGGGTTGCTGTTCATTACCTGTTCAAATTTTTAAAAACACTGCTTAATGTTCCCTCTGTTTGTTCGCAGTTGCAGAAGAATCACCTAAAGGACTTGGAGCGTTATGGGTCGATTTCGGCCTCCAAAAAAGTCAAACAATTTTTTTTTTATTTATTTCCCAATTTTTGTTATAAACATCACATTGGTTAATTGGGGCTTTCTTTCCTGGTGTAGATTTGTTTTCAAATGTGCATGCGTAGATACCCTACCATAGCAACGAAACTGCGTTGCTATGCAGAAATAGCCAAACTATAGTGTTTTTGGACAGTTAGCATGCAGAAATGAAAGCCTCCGCATCCGAAAGAACACTGATATACCAATGTTTAAGCATGTGAAATATGTATTTGTTTGTTAAAGAGTGTTTAGTTCATTTCCTTCAAAATGGCCAATTTTCAACCAAATAGCACACAACAGACGACAATCACGCATTTTATTATGAAAATGCGGGTTTATGTCTCTCTTTATAATACCATAACTCTTAAACCAGTTTTCGAATGAATTTGAAATTTCATACATGCGTACTTCATTTATTCAAGATATTACAAACATAACCACTAATTCTAAATCCCTGATGAGGCCGGAAATGACCCATAGTCCTTTGTAAAACGAATTAAAGACGGGAAGTGAGATTGAATCAGATGAGTATTTTAGCCCTATATATATCCTATATAAGTTCTTTTTATACAGAGAGAAACAAACTAAAGTTGCTAATTTTAGACATTTGAAATTGAACCAATTATTTTTATATGACTACCGTTCAGCCATATATGAACTATTTGCAGCGTTAAAGATATAAATAAGTGGTTTATAGTAATGGCGAAGAGTATATGTCGATAGACTTAAGAGTACATTGAACCGGTTACAAGTTTAATTTATTTCCCTGGTACAGTGTATCATCACACTAACCAACCTTCTAACATCAACGACGCATGAAAGTTCGCAACATTCATAGATGTGGAAGCGAGCATGCACAGTACCATTGCCCGAAACAAATGAAAGGCTGGAAGAAAAAGAGAGGTTTACAAAATCTATGAACAGCATAGACGTAACTTAAGGTAGTATTGTTTTCTTTCTTTTTTAGATAATACTCACGTTACCATAATATGATGCCTGTGTTGTCTATAGATTAATAGAATATATCACTCCTGTGTGATGTAGTCAGAGATATCTCAAACAGAGGGAGGGATGGTTTTTTAGGTTTAGCAAGAGGCTTTGCCGAGTGCTAAACCTAAAAAATATCTCATCCCGAGGGTTGAGATAAATCTGTCTACATCACACAGGAGTGATTGATTATTTTTCTCCCACATTTTCATATTGTAAAAAATACCTTCACTGCGAAGTTGTATTTTTGACTCCAATGTACCGAACTATCTTCAATTAAATTCATCAACAATTCTTCCTGTTTCACCATTTTTTCCTACGGCAACACATTCGCCTACTTGGAACTGTCGGAATGCTGAGCTTGCCATGTTTTGTTTACATGTGTGTAAAAAGTGATGATGTAATAGGTTTTGCTAAAAGTGCACAGGGTCACAGGTCATGTTGAAAGAAGTGCGTTGTCTGTGACGTAATAGCGCGTGTCAGCTGTGTTGATCGAGGTAGATCAGGACAGGTTTATTTTTTCCCTACCAAAAACGGGAATGCACCTGTGAAGTGTGGGAGAAACTTGATTCAATTTAAGGTGGAGCAATTTCACTGTCTTCCTCAACCTGATTCAATGGCGTAGCAAATCATTTTCCGGAGTGTATGCTTAAAACATAGCTGGCAAAATATTCTACTAGGCCCTATAAAGGCAATCTCTCCCTTATTCTGTGATAACCTTTTAGTTCGATTATTAACAAGTAAAATATTTACTTGCTAATCATAAGACTAAAAGTTTCGTCGGACTAGAATTTTCAAGAAGAGTTTTTTTTTATTTCTGTTCTTTTCCATGATTGATACGGACGGTCCATATTAATCATAAAAGGTAGAGGTTAATAAAAAATATATGATTGAAATCGATCTTTTTAAAAATTTAAGTGTATGCTTAAGCATACAAGCATACATGCATTCTACGCCACTGTGATTTCCACCATTGATGCTTCAGTGACGACAACATATTAAGTTTAGTTTACTTTGTCTTAAATAAATGTTGAAAAGGAGTTCTGATTTTTTCTCGTTTGTTCTGATGATGTGGATATTTTGTACAATACATTGTATCATAGTGATGGTATATACATATTTTAGGGCGAAAACATTGAGAGTAAACAAATAATGCAATCATTAATAAAACTCAATTCATTTAACCAATAACAGGGATGGAAGAGAGAAAAAAAAGAAACTATAATCGGATTGAGATATCAACAAAGAAGAGGAATATCAGAAACACTCCTATCTTCTAACTTCTTTCTCAAAATAATAAGCTATTCCATGAGCGTATCAATACAAAAACCTTAATACAGCTTAATCTACCGAATTACAGACATTGAGTTTTTTCGTTGAGTGATACTCTCATGGACAAGCTTATTTTTTGAGTGCAGACATTTAACAGTACATTAAGAAAATAATTAATTTGTTTTCTTGGATTTTTACATACAAACATCACCAATCTACAACGGCTGAATGCGAAGACCAGAAGAAGAAGTTATGCGACACCAAAACGAAAGGAAAGGCGTCATGGACATATTAAAAATAATAACGGCGAAATGAAAAAAAAAAGTGGCTAAACTTTAGTAACCGTTTCTTATACCAACTGTGGGAGCCGTCATAGTTTCTTTCACGTGGTCGCATGAGAGATATCCTGGTTTTACAAACTTGTATATGAATCGCTTCAGGTTGTATTGGCCAGTTAAGGACACTTGGATCATGTTCTGGGTTAACTGCCCTCGGCCCCCCGGGCTACCTCTACCCAGTAAACACTGATGGTCAGTGTAGGTCCAGCCCGTCAATATCACACACACAGGTATCCACTTCGCTGCCCCACTGGACGTGTCCATATCATATACGGTAAGTGTCTATTTACGAAACACGTTTTCCAGATTATTTGTATAATATTGATGTTTAAAATTATCTTAACATGTTTAATAATCCATGCACTTGCAATAGACATTTTGCATTTAATCCTAATTAAATGAAACGTGAAAATTAGAAATATTTGTGTTTACTATGTTCTTTATCCAGCCGCATCAATTTACATGCATTTCTCAAAATCAAATACATTGATATGTAATTTGTATATACAGAAATATATATTTGTAAATGTCTAGTATGTCTATCAAACAGATTTGCGATACTTTTATCAAGTAATGGTTTAAACAATATCAGAACAATGTGTTCATATTCTGTTTTCATTAAGTATTAACCACAATTATTACTTGTCTCATAAATGTTTCAACATACAAATGTTTTTTTAAAAGAACACATTTATGGAATGACACTGGAAAAAGAATTTGGTAATAGGCTGTCTAACTTCGAAGCGAAAAAATAAATAAGGAAGTCGTTATTGATTTTGGCATAGCCAATTGGTGTATTAGTAATTCAATTTTCTGACATAAGTGTGGTATGTTGATAACGTTAACTTGGTAATTAAATGTTAATTATCATCTGTTCGAATCCGTGTTTGGTTGATCTTAAAACCAGGCACACTCAGAGAAATTACTTTTCCAAATACTAGCTATGATTCTTCATTGTCTGGTGGAAATCTGATGAGGCAGTATCCAGATACAGTATAGTCTCCATCGATTAGCACCTGCAATACAAAGAGCTGATTTTTTTGTTTTACATATTTGCATTGTTTGTCATTTTCATTGTTTGTTACTATTCTTAATTAGGGGAAACTAAATTCGTTTAAAATCGACAAGAAAAGCATCGAACCGGATGTTGATGTGTCCTTAATATCGCTGCTAAAATTTAATGAATATATAAAGCGGAAACGTGGTTACCGTCTGTCAGGTCGTATTTTAAACAATTAATGACGGACAGTATACGATATCTCAAACGGTAAAAATGACCTAAAATGGAGGGAATCGATTTCTCGATACTGAATGCAACCATGATAGTTATTATAAAATATTAAGAATATGTAAAGCGATATCAATACAGTTATACTTAATGTTTCAGAATGCATGTACAAAATCTCAGCTTATTCATTCGTATTTGTTCTTTTCAGAAACCGACGCCTAAAGTTTGATTACGGCGGGGATCGCATAAATATGAGATTCCGACTTAGTCGATATTTCAAAAGGCACACTTTGCTGCTGTTAAGTTGCGTAACCCTTATACTGTTTTTCCTGATTGAGTTTCCCCCGAGATTCCAAAATGAAAAAACGGATGATGTCATCGGAAGTATGGGGCTTTACTCGAGTACTATTGTAGAAGTCAAAGAAACAGAGATCAACATCTACGAAGATCCGAACTTTGTACCAGATTTTACCGAGAATTTAGATCTGGTAAAACTGTCCGCATGGGGTTATGAACCTAAAGAGACATGGCACCAACATTACCAGGACCTGTTTCGGAAGTATAACATGAACTGGACTAGTAAAAGTTACCCCGAGATGAAATGTGATGAACATTTTAAAGAATCTCTCGTCGAAAACATGGATGTGATTTCAAACTATCCACTGAACGTGCCTGAGAAATACCTTCAGGAATTATTTCTTGATGAAAGAGGTATTGCGGAATTATCCAAGCCTGTTCCCAACCCAATGAAATACCCTGTTTTTGTTACAGCTGCGTCATCAAATCATTACAGAGAATCTCAAGGGATGATCAAATCATATCACCAGCTCTTAGAAATTCATCCAGATCTGAAAATGATATACTTTGATATCGGGCTGACGGATACACAGCGAACAGAACTAAGCAAGTATTGCAAATGCGAGGTAAGGACATACGAAGTGGGGAAATATCCTCCTCATGCAGCGGATAAGCGCGGCTTTGCTTGGAAACCTGTTCTAATACAAACAGTTCTTAAAGAATATGATCTTGTTATGTGGATGGACGCTTCTGTGATTTACGAAGGCACCTCCCTTGATGAGGTGAGTCTCCGCACGAGACAAAGGGGGATTCAAGCAATGCATGGAGCTAGTGCAGTGTGTGAGAGAACGGCAAAGAACAGTTTTGATTTTCTCAAAGAAAAACCTTGCCTGTTTAATCTACCAGAAGTTGAGGCCACGTGGATTGTTATCAGTAGAAACAGATTCACACTCGAATACATTATGAAACCCTGGGTTTCTTGTGGCCTCTCATACAACTGCATGGCTTTTAAGGGCAGTGACTTCTATTTAGGATGCTTAGGGAGCAGAAAGTTTCACAGATGTCATCGATTTGATCAATCCATATTGGGAATCATAGTTAATAGACTATTTCAAGAAAAAAGGAGAGTTGTTGAATTTGATGTGGCACCGATACTTCATATCCAAAGAAATGCGCATACTAATTATTTTGAACAACTGAAAAAACACAGCTGAGATAATCGCAACCTGACCAGTACTTATGAACAAATGTGCTGGTAGGTGGGTAACCTATGGAGGTTTATGCACCTTGATGTAAGATTAAATTACATTACAGTGCACGTGTTTGCAAAACAATGAGCTAACTTAAGCATAAAACAGGATTGCCGAAATATTGATTATTGCGCATTAGCCCATTTTGACAATTATGATTATACTATAAATTGATATTTAAATTTCGCGTTTGTTCTTCACATTAGGGTTAAGTTTGTAATGCATGTAAAGGAACAGTCGACAGTCAATGTCGGCTAGCTATCTCCAGTGTGGTGATTACGATGTTGTAATGCATGTAAAGGAACTGTCGACAGTCAATGTCGGCTAGCTATCTCCAGTGTGGTGATTATGATGTGGTAATGACATCACGATCGTCAATCTTACGTATAGTCTTCTAACTCACAGTTTTAGGTTTGTATACTGAAGATGTAGAATTAATATTGTTATAACTTATTCAACGATTGTTATTAAATAATTGAAATATATATATTATTTGTGATTTTTGATACTCTTCTGCTTGATTAAATGTATGATACCTTTGTCGGTCGGATATGACATCCTTACGTATAAATAAGTTTGAAGTTTTGAGCTATACAATTTGTAACTGCTTTGAAGATATTTTCATATCCTAGACAATTGAATAAAATCAAAATAATGTACTTGGTTTACAAATTGTATATATCACATATGTTTTTAGATAAATTGAATACAAATCTTGCAGGCAGTGCTACAGATGTAGTAGTATCTAATGTTAGAATTATGACGTAATAAAAATAATATCAAAAAGAGCATCATGGCATTCATAGCGGATATGAATATCATATGAATTTGATATTGTTTTATATACACTCGTGGCAACGCTGTAGAGTAGGAAACTATATTGAATGTTGAATGACATATTTACAAAGTATATTTAAGTTATTCCATGCATACTTTATTTTTTTTTAAATATTTAAATATTGTTGTGGTATTTTTTGTTTAATAAAAAACATTAAATAAGATTGCAGAAGTTTTGTTGTTTAGTGCACTGATATGACATTCCACGGACCTCAACACTCGTTGTCATGATTATTTGATTTTATTCTGTATGTCTCTACACATGGCTCATGGAGTGCTTGTTTTAGTTATTCAGTAAGATTCAAGGTTGTATTTGTATATGTCTTATCATTTACAAATTCTAATCTCAAATGATCATTAGGAATCCCTTTCCATGAGATATTTCGAACAACATTTGTCATGATGTTAATCATACAATGAATTAAATTTGTAAAATATAATTTGTTATCTATACAATCAGAAATATAAATAATCATTATTAATTTTCCATTTATAGGAGATTTATGAAATTAATAAATTGTTATATTTAGGCGAGGTTTGGCAGAACTAATAATACGAAAACATCGGTCACTTCCGTAAATTTCATATGCACAGAACAAAAGATAATTTCATCACATAGCTGAAACCATATAAAATATTTCGAAAAAAACACATTGTACTAATAAGAAAGTGTCTTATGTTATTTCCGTGTAAATTTTTATCTATCAACAAAGAACAAAGAAAACTTTCATTTAATTGACTCACGTGTTAATGGGTTGTTAAAGTGAGTTAAAGTTAAAATAAGACAGATATAAGAATGAATTTGATTGAGTTGATTTCTAGACTTAAATGAACGAACCACTTGTACACCGTCAAAATACTATTCAGTATTAGTTCATTCATAAGTTGCTTAATGTATTTATTGAAATTTCATATTGGCATATATTTATTGAAATAAGTTAGAAAATGTAGTATAAAAAGACATCTTTTATCACAATTAGCCGGACCAATGATGATTCTGGATTATGGATTATTCTATGCATGTGTACTTCGTGGACGACTTTATATAAACCATTCAGTGTAAACACCACTCAGTCAGCAATATTATGCACTATGAAATAGGATATTTTATTTGCTTATTTGAATTTTAAATGTTGGATACTCCAGTATCCAGGCTTAGCTCGGACTTCAATACACAAATCGCAAGAGGAGAAAAGAGTTGTTGTGTAGTAAAATTGAAATAAATACACCACATCGTCAATACACAAGGTCAAAATCAAATCTAAAAGTCGATCACGACATGAACCAAAGAGCTGCCGACAGAAGAGCGATGGTAACATGAGCTCCCACAAAAAAACCGGATACACAAAAAAGCTGCTCAAGAACTGTAATCGTTTAAGGTACCGCATTGTATGCTTTCAGTCTAATCCCAGCAAGTATTTAAGTCGGATATGATTAAAGCACAGGTACTAGCCGTTGTGACAGACGAGGCTAGTACCTGTGATTAAAGAGACAGTGAACAAACTGCTTACCTATACTACAGGTCGATTGATTTACTAGTTCGATTGATTTACTAGTTTTATTGTCGAATTATGACATCAAAACTATGCTAAGAATATTAAGCTCTAGTTAAATTTCTGCCTGGACATTGCATATTGATATAATGTTTGACGACACTGTGTTATATCATTTACTAATACATCAGCACGCGGACGGATTTGGTACCCTACTTACCAAACCTTAACGTACAACAAATTCAAAGAGGAATAGGAACTAATTTATCAGAGCTGACAGAAGGGAAGTTATTCTCCGAGCTCACAGACATACAATACCGTTACTAGCTGCAGGCAAAATTACACTTAATGTTAATGACGTAAATCTAGGAGTATATTTATGCCTGCGGATATATAGTATGTCCAGGTGCCCACGATATTGTCTGAAACAATTTCTGTGGTTTATAGGTTGAGTAATTAATAAAAAAAATACATGAGTACAATTACAGTATGTCTCCAGTTTTTAAAAGTGGCCAGGTATTTTTTTGTTAGCATCGGTGTCTTGTGATAGTAAACATATAGAAAAGACAAATAAAGAAACTCTTAGCAGCTCCCTAGCTGTTTTACCTCTTCAGAGGTTCCTCGTGGGTTTTCATATCGTTGTAATTATTCCTTGCTGTAAACACGTGTTATTTAAAACGTCATGCATTACAGTTAATACGTCTAACGCAAAATTATATCTATATTGTATTTTTTCAACATTAACGAATTTGATATGTCGACTCAATCATCAAACGCTGAAATGACAATGGCATTTTTTTGCAGTAGATAGCAAGCTATAGTAGGTCGTCGTGAAAAATTTGTCTGCGAATAGTATACTGTAGAGACTAATATTTTTTTAAACACACAAGCAAAAGAATTTCGATAGAAAAGTACTAATTAGACTAAAACTCAAATAACATCCCACGAGATGTGACGAACATTGCATCAGTAACAGCGTACGGAATATTTAAGTCCATCACAACAACTGTCTACGTACATCATCCACATTATTATTATAGTTACTACGTCATAATTCATAACGGTATTATATGGAACTTATCCATCCAGCGATTTTATTTCATTTCTTTACAATTTTTTTTTTTACTTACATGGCTAGTTAAGTAATGTCCGACCTTGAGTTTTACTAAAAATAACAGATGTTTTTGTCTTGGACACAACCTACGGTTATAAAAATGAAATATTATATTACAATGTATGTATGTGTCCCGTATCTTACACTGCATTTCCCAAACTCCTTTTTACCTTCCCATGTAATTTATTCCTATTCACGTCACTATCCCTGAAGCTAAGTTTGATGATGCTGGTCATGATATCATGTAACCGATTTTCATAAGTGTATCAACACTTCTTTCTGTCTTCTGTACATATATGTTAGCATTATGTGTCAAACATGTTGTGTGCATACAACAAAGTTTAAAATTTCATAAAAAGTACGATTGTAAAAATAAATATTTACGAAAATGAAGTTATTCACAGCACACACAAAATGACATGATTTGAGAAGATTTGAAATTACACTGGACAAATTACCGTATAACGACTCTAGAGGTCAAAGCGACAAACGTTTCTGATATTATGAATTATGTGCAATCATACATCCTGGTAAGTCACAAATCTTACCCGGAAGATGTAAAGTATCACCTGTGCAGGTACCTATAAGTCGTATGTACGCACGGGTGATTGATGGGCGACCCGTGTCCCCGGCGGGCGAGCACCCGTGTAAGGTGGTAGATTGGTACACATAGCGCCATATCACGGGATCTAGAAACCACACGGGGAGTGTTCATTTGGGATTTTACAACAATCGTTACGGCCCAATCGGCCGAAACGGTGTCGACCACTTGGTTCCAATTGTTAAGAGCAAGGTATGTACTTTTTTATTATGTTTTAGACAGGCCTTTCACTCGTTTTGATGTCTTTTGATATTGCACTGCAGCAAGTTTTATCGTTTTTTTGTAATTTTTAAATCTATCACATGTTCGTTCCTTGTATGTTATACCTAAGGTTGATAGTATGGTATAGTTGGTTCGTCATTGTATTGATAACATAGTTTGTATATTTAGTTGGTCGGCGTCATTATGCCGTTTATATTTCTACATTTTCGACAGACTGATGTGTACGAGTTCATATCTATGAAATGCGAATTCTATGTATCTTTCTATGTCGCTGATATAGATAAATAATTGTGGTATTAGTTCGGCCATTATAAGAAAAAACACTGTTTTTTACATTATGAATGCCTTTGCTGGTTACTATCTGAGTACTTACTAATTGATGAATAACTTCGATACATTTCATTCAATATTTAAAGAAAAACTTATATTTTAAAAAAACCACGTTATTAATGCCTGGCTAATATAACATCAAAATATAAATATCTTAGATAATTAACTTAAACATATTATCGTTACGACTACGCTGCCATGGTTTCTAGATTCATAAACTCGCTCCCATACATTCTTCAATATTCTGACGTAAAACTAACATCCTTCAATAAGAAGTTCCCATCACTTTTTCTCAAAATCGATGATCTGTCCTGACTATTGTTAGGAGTTTTTACTACTAACCGACCCTCTACCAATCCTATAAGAATCCGTCATGATTGCCGGTTCAAAGACAGATAGTTCATGGTCTTTGCACATTAGTCATCATCACAGTATCGTATGCCAACAGGATTTTACTTGAAAACGTATTGACTAGGGGCGATTTGTATAGCAGCTGATCTCTGGTATATTATTACAGAGCAAGGGGGGATATCAAGACGTACAAACATAAGCTAGGGTGTCAGCTTCAAATGTTATACTTACAGAAAACTTGCCTGACCAAAGACAAAATATTTATAAACGAAAACCTCATTTTGGATATGCATGACAAATTCCATCAATATTGCCAATATTTATTATCCGAGAACTACTAGTATATCTGGACTATTGACGCCCTACTGTATTTTTTCGAGATAAATATATTAAAATGTCAATACGAAACAATGACAACAATTATAAAAAGCCAATTCAAGAAAAAGAAAAAATATCTAAAAACATTTGTTGGGCAGGATAACATAGTTTCTTCTAAGATTCTCAAAGCATAAAACTAGTCTATTTTTCTGTTGACAGGTGATGCTCCGCCACATACGGCACCCTTGAGGACAACTTGAGTGTGGGAAGGTAAGACATCCTACAACATGCTCTTTCTCATCCTGTTCGTATTTATTGGCATAAAGCTCGTGTCATGTTGCCGAAAATACAGCAAGGACCTGGAAGAAGAACACGAGGAGTTAACCTTTGCCAAGGTCACTTCGAAAAATTGGTTCAAGGTTCTGGTCTTCTTGCGCATGGTCCTGTTCGTCGTCTGCTGTGTCCTCGGGTATTACTTCAGCTACGGCTTTGGTGACGGGGACAAATGGGCAGACGAGGCAGTCGAGAGCTGGGACGAACATTTCGAAGGATTCCATCAACATGCAATCAACATCACACTTCCAATGGACTGTCAGGCCGAGTTTCAGGCAACAATCGCTGAAAATCTTGCATTCGTCGAAAATTACTCTTTAGGCATCAACGACGAATGTTTGGGAAATCTATCACTGGATGCAGACGGAATAGCAAGACTAACAAAGTCACCAGGTGGCTTCTCGATAAAATCAATCGGAAGGAAGATGGATAAACCTTTAAAATATCCAATTTTGGTGACTGCGGTAACGGAACTTTCCTTTCTCGAAATAATTGGTCTTATTGAAAACATTAAAACAGTTTTGCACAAAGCATTTCCCAAAATGGAGGCTGTAATATTTGATTTCGGATTATCAGTTGAACACCATGAACAAATTGTCAGCAATTGTAGTTTCTGTGATGTTCAGAGCTACCCAGCGGAACAACTTGACGCCTGCGAAGCAAATATAGAGAAACCTAATGCTACTTTTGCACAAGCACCTGGGAAGAGAAGATACGAAAGCATTTACAAACCAGCTCTTATTCAGGTTGTCCTCCAACATCACGACTTTGTCATGTGGATAAATGAAAGCATCCGCTTCGATACATCTTCTTCGTTCAAGAAAATAGTCAAGGGAATTAAAGGCAAGTCAATACAATTGCCGATGAGCGAGGAGACCATTGAAGAACGTGGCATCAATGAGGACATGTTTGCTGTATTAGATGAAGAACCCTGTTTGTACCAGCAGCAGAACGTCCTGGACACCAAACTGATGTTGATTAGACGGAATAACTTCACAGTGTATGCCGTTATGAGACCCTGGGTTGCATCAGCGTTCACATACATGTCTCTTCCACAGAGGCAAAAGAAGAACGGAACAACCAAAAACGACGATAAGGCAGATAGTTCCCTACTGAGCATAATTCTATCTCGGCTGTTCAGCATGAGGAAGCAGATCTTTCTTTTCGATTTCCCGGGTACATATGATGAAAGTCTACCAGACGACAGCAAAAAAGGCGGCGATATCATAGTTCCAAACAAAATGTTCGAAATACCGGTGGATGACATTAGAAACAGCGACTTGGAAATTGTCGCCATTGGAAACGACATTAATTCGAAGCATCCAAAAGCTCATGTTACGATAGAAGGTTTCCAAAATGAAAACCATAGTGGTACAATTCAATACAATTGAACCCATTGAAGTGAAAACTTGTAACCTCTTCTCCAATATTTTTGCCCAAGTGAATACACTGGATTCATTCATTTGTTAGATATATATGTTAAACAAAACTATTTATTGAAATTATTTATATTCAGGATCGACACATGTAT